TTTTCTTGAATACTTTTATTTTTAAAATTTGGCATATCTGAAATGTCGATTTTCAATCTTTGCTTAAAAATTTTAGTAGAGTGCTTAGAGCTTCAGCTGAAGACTGACTGTGGAGCCGTGCAAGTCCGGGTACAGATGGGTTTCTCTGCTCTTTCCATTTTCTGTGCATTTCCCTGAAATTATTTCTTATCTATCTTCTGGGATTGCCACATTGCTATAGCTAATAATTAATATAATTAACCCAAACTTGTAGTAGTATTACAGATATTTGAAGATCCAGAGTTGTGCCCAAGATGGGCAAACTACCTGGGTTGAAGGGCAAGAAATATCTTCTGACCATTACACCATTTAGTTAGTTATAAGTAATACAGTGAAATGCTACGTGGTGTGAAACCAAAGGGGATCATGGGGAATTTGCACAAATCCTCTTTCCTTCCTTGATCCCAAGCTCGATAATTATTTCTGTATCATTTCTTTATTAGACAGTAGGCTGGGATTCAACTCTCCAAACTGGAGCCATTGGTAGCTGAGTTCCCTCAAGGGAGGGAAATGTGATTTTTCTGCTGAAGTAGTCACCTAAAATCAGAATGCTGTATCCAGAGAGCACGGGGTGAATTGCTGTCACCCAGCTCCCTGCACCCGATTACAGAGGCACTCGTATTGCTCCTGTTGCCATGCATAGCAAAGCTCCTCCTGAGCATCCCCATCCCCTCCCAGCAGCAGGGCGGGTCCCACACTGGTAGCTTTGAGAAACCCCACTTTTGCTTTGCCACGCACGCAGTTTTGTATTGGGTCGGTGAGAAGCTCCTTAGCAGCAATGGTGTGATTTTTAGCGCACCTTTGGGGATGCAGGTATTCCCAGCAAGGGTTGTATGGCATTGGTCCAACATTCCTGGAAACTTATCAGTACTTAAAGGGGGCTTATAAAAAAGATGGCGGCAAACTTTTTAGCAGGGCCTCTTGTGACAGGACAAGGGGGAATGGCTTTGAACTAAAGGGGGGTAGATTGAGACTAGATATAAGGAAGAAATTTTTTACGCTGAGGGTGGTGAAACACTGGCACAGGTTGCCCAGAGAGGTGGTGGATGCCCCGTGCCTGGGAACATTGAAGGTCAGGTTGGACGGGGCTCTGAGCAACGTGATCTAGTTGAAGATGTCCCTGCCCACGGCAGGGGGGTTGGACTAGATGACCTTTAGACGTCCCTTCCAACCCAAACTATTCTATGATTCTATGAAACGTGCAGGTTTTCTTCTCCTCTGGGTCAACCGCTGCCCATGGGTTTTGGATGCAGCAGCAGTTGCTGGGGCTGTGCAGACGGTCTCGGTGGCATTTCCCACCCCACCATCACCTCTGCTCTCCTCCCAGCAACAGGGAAAGCTAAAACCCTAATGCTTTGTGTCTCTCAAGCTTTCTCTCTCCATTTCACAGCAGAAGGAGGGATGTTGACAAGTGTGGGCAGACCCGGCAGATCTCCGTGGCCAGGGCTGTCAGAGCTGTGGTCAAGAATAGCTCCAAGCCAGGGAGGTCCCGATTGGTCATATGGAGAGAGGTTTCCCATTGCCCAGTTAGTAAACAGGCTTGTAGGGCAGGTCCTGTTGGCATGCAGCACGTCAGTGAGACCATCTGAGATGTCAAGCAGTCTTCAGGAACAAAAAGCCCATACTGGCATCTGTAGTCTGCTAATGGAAAGGACTGGCCATTGCTTGGGAGCGGTCCAAGGAGGCAGTGTAGGGCCAGCTTATCCCTCTGGGGCTGGGGAGAGCCAGGGTGCACGCAGGGTACCTAGCCCAGCCCCGAGTACTGCACCTGGGCTGGTGCCTCTCCTGGTGCCTCGGGCTGACTGTGACCATCAGTTGCTGGGGCGTGCAGGGGCTCACGGTGAGACGTGCTTTCTCCTGCTGTAGCCAGTGAACAGCGTCCCCAGGCTGTGAGTGAGCAGTGCTGCCCTGCACAGGGCACTGAGCGGAGCTGGTGGTGGGCGGTTGCTGCTAATTTGAACTGCTGCACCATGAGCCGGGAGGTCTGAGCACAGATTCTGCCCTGTGCAGTTTTGGGTTCATCCCTTATGGTCTCTGTGGCTCAAATCTCGCTTAAAGGAACTTTGACCTTAGCCAAAGCTACTGCTTGGGGTGAAATCCCTCTGGTTTGCTAAATTAGCCTTGTGAACAAGGCAGAGCAAATTGCACTCTGTGGCTGTAAGCAGGGGTGAAGCAGCACACGAACAGTGTTGATGGCCCTGCTGGGCTTTGCAGAGCCCTTTTAGTTTGGTCTGCTGCCCCTCTCTCCTGGGTGGTTTTCCTCCCTTCTTGCACCTGTTTACCCAAACTCAAATTTGAAAGCCCCCCAAAATCAGCAATACATCTCCTGGCCTGTGGGACTCGGCGTGCCTACGCCGCGCAGCCCAGGGATGCAAGAGGCGGCTTGGCTGAATTGCCGTTTTATTGAATCCTCTTCCTTGCTAATTTGTTATTAAATTACAGTTAGTGTTTCACTAGAGCCCCAGTGGGCATGAGTTCATTAGCGTTTTATTGGCTAAAGCTGCGCTTTGTTGCATGGGAAATGTATCCCAAAGAGCATCTGCACTCGTTGGAGTGATTGTGCTGAGCTCTGGTTGGGGCAGGGTGTGCAGTAGCTCTCTAAGTGCGTGGCTCAGACTTGCAAAGGAGCTTGGCTCTCGCCTCAGCGTTGGGATAAAGACCTGGATTTATGCAAGGGCTTAACAAATCTGGCTGGTCAGCCCTTCTGAGAATTTGACTTCTTTGCTCGCGTCGGTTCTTGCTGGAGTTTTGCCGTGAGCCATCAGCACAAGGGGACTTTGGCTTCAGCGTGGCAGAGACAAAACAGCTTTCCCCATGGCACTCCCCTCTGCCAGGCTCGGGGTGAGCCCGGGCAGAATCCCTTGCCTGCAGCCAGGGATTGCGGAAGCCTCTTCGAGGAGCTCTGCACTGATTCTGCCCCTGAAACATATGCTGGAGCTGGGTAGCATCTTTGCTGAAACGTCCTGGCCTGTCTGTATTGCTGTCCTGGGGCTGTTACTCACCAAAAAATCAGGCTAAAAATAGTCTCTCTAACCCTGAGATGTTTTTCAGGGTTGCTGTCTCTTCCAAGCCCACATCAATTAGCACTTGGGATGGCCCAGAACAGGACCCCCACGGCTCCAGCAGCTCGGAAATGCAACTTGATGTTTATAATCAATGATCATTAGGACCAATAAATCAGGCTGCAGCTCTACAAGGTGCCATGCAGTTATCCTGGGTGCTGCAGAGAGCATCCAGCTCAGCCTGTGGCTCCTGGAAGAATCACATGCAGAGCTTCAGAAGGTGCTGGGTTAATTACTCTAAGGTAGCCGGGCTGGAGCTCACCTTTTCGGGGCTAAATCAAGGCATTTCTTTAGTGTTAGGTACGAGGCACACTGCTGTGACCTTGGTACTGGTCTGGTGTCTTAGCAAGGCACGGAGAGGTGGCTCTTGGATGCAGTTTCACCTCTGCTTTTAACGACGGGGAAGGGGAATATGAGAGATGGGACTTGGAAACCCACCCCAGTGGGCTCTTTGGTGAGGAACTCTGGTGAGACCCTTCTCCATGAGGAATAAGCCCTGCAAGCAGCATATGGGTATGTGCTGGGGATTTTGAGGCTGGCTGTAGCCATGGTGGGAGCCTGAGCTCTGCTTTCTCCAGCCCATCACCAAGGCTTCAGCCCCAGAGCGGGTGGGCTTGCACAGCTTGCCTGGTCTGTGCACTGGGGAGGGCGGAGCTGCATTCCCCCCGCCTTCCCCTGCTGTTTTCTGAGTCATCTGTATCTCCCATCCCCATCGGTGACTTTAAAATGGCTTTGAGGAATTGTATTTTCAGGTCTTTTATCATTTGATCGCAGGTCAGGGCCAGCAGCTTTTCCTGCCTGCTGGCTCTGGCTGCCAAAGTTAATACATCATGCAGTGCTGGAAATGTCACACGGAGGCTTGGCGCGGACCGGAGGCAGGGCTTTGCATTGGGGTGCCTGCCCTGTGCTCCCTCTGCAGAGACTGGTGAAATAATGAGAGGATTAATTAAATTCCTCTTCCTCGGGTGTGTGAGGTACAGGGTGTGAGGCTTTTCTGCCACTGGGTGGGCGCAGAGGGTCTGTCCCCACGGCTGTGCACAGCACCCTGCGTGTGGGACCAGCACACCGGGTACCTGATGCGGGTGCACCCATGGTAGACCGGTTATGGAACTCCCCAAAAGTCCCACAGCAGGAAGTTGCTCAGCCTAAATGGCTTTTCTAGCCTATTCCCCTGCCAGCCCCCTCCCTGCTTGCAAAGACTTTAAATGCAAAAGTGGCTGGATTTTGGGAATCTCGTTCTCTCCCTGGGGCTGGGACAGAGCTTTGTGTTTAGTCACTGATCTTTGGAAGTTCCTGTTGTTTTTTTTCCTGTCCAGTGACTTCTAATCAAAGTGGGTAATTGCATTATCCCGTCTCCCCTGGAGAGGTTCACAGAGTCCTCAGCAATCATGTTCAGTTTTATACCGAGCCCCTAAAAAGCCCCACTCAAAATGAGGCTTCTCTTACCAGAACTCAGCAATGGCCACAAGCCAGCAGGGCAAACCTGGCCAGGCTGTAGAGCCCCGGGGGCTGGCAGGGCTGGGGAGGTGGTGGTCCCTCTCTGGGGAGGTACGGCCCTTCAGAGGGGCAGAGCGGGTGCCTTTGAAACACAAGTTAATATTCCTAGCAGCATCCTGGGCTGCGCAAAGCATTATCCCCATCCAGGGGCCAGATTGCTTCAGGGTGTGCTCCTCTGGATGCTGGGCACAGGGACACTGCGGGGCAAAAAGGCCCCCTGTCCTGTCCTAGCATGGATGCGCGGGCTGATGAGGGCATGTGCGTGTGTTTGGGGAGGCACGTGGGGTCGGGGAAATCTTTCCTTGCCCCTCTCGCCCCTTCCCACTGGAGCCTCTTCAGCCCTCCCTGGGGCTTTCCTGGCACAGAAAAGCTAATACAGGTGTTCTCTTTTGTCCCCTGCAGTACGAGTTTAAAGCCAAGAACATCAAGAAGAAGAAAGTGAGTCTCATTGTGTCAGTGGATGGTGTGAAGGTCATTCTGAAGAAGAAGAAGAAGGTAGGCAGCCCCGGTCCCTGCGGCACCAGTGCCTGGGCAGTGGGAGTCCTCCCCTCGTGGTGCAGGGACCTGCAGGGTCCTTGAATTTCTCGGAAACTCTGGTGGGCTGGGAGAGGGAGGGATGGGCTGGGATCAGCCATGGATGAGCCGTGTGCCTGCAGGATGGAAGAGCCAGTCCTGATGTGGGCATAGAAGGGGCTCGGGGTGCCCCATGGGAGGTGGTGTGGGACAACGCTGGCCCCAGCAGGATCCGGCCCTCGGCAAAGGGTTGCAGGGGAGCAGCAGCAGAGCTGTGACAAGCGCTTCCCGGGTCTGTCCCTGGACTGTGTCTGTCCTGTTCTTGATCTCAAGGGCAGCGTCTGACGTACTCATTTTCAGCTTCTTTTGTTGCAGAAAAAAGAATGGGCCTGGGATGAGAACAAAATGCTCGTCATGCACGATCCCATCTACAGGTAAGCCTGCCCGCTGAAGGGACGGAGGCTTGTGTGGCTCTGCCGTGCCACTTACCCCACACCACACCGGTACTGTGCTGGGGACTGACCATGGAGAGCCGCCGCCATCCTCACGGGAGGACAGCTCCCCTCGCTTGCTGTGCTCTCCAAAAGTCCCCAGCTCTTTTCTTCCATCTCGCTGGCAAAAGCTAAGAGCATGGGGCGTCTGTGTCCCAGGGAAGCTGAACGGGAGCGAGGAAGGGCCCCAGCCATGCTGGGGAGGGGGCGGCATGCTGGCTGGGGCAGGTGCCCGAGCAAGAAGGCCAGCTCTCCGAACAGGCAAGGCAGGAGGAGTGAGGTTTGCTCTCCTCGGTCCCTGAAGGGCTCCTGGGCTGCCGGCTCTGTCCCAGGGGGCTGAGCAGAGAAAGCCCTGTGCTGCCTTCACAAAATGCTTGCTGCTGCTGAGTCAGCAGGCTGATTTTCCCAGCTGAGGCAAAACCACTGCCAAAAAAATTTCTGATGGGCTTTAGCAGGGATGTGCTGGAGAGGCTGGGCATCTGCCAGCACCCAGTGCCCTGGGAAGCACTGGCTGTGGCCTCGTCAGTCTCCTGGGCATGTGGGTAATATATATGCTGATATCCTCCCCTTCTTTCTGTCCTTGCAGGATATTCTACGTGTCGCATGACTCCCAGGACCTAAAGATCTTCAGCTACATTGCCAGGGATGGGTCTAGCAATGTCTTCAGGTGCAACGTCTTCAAATCCAAGAAGAAGGTAAAGGTCTTGGGATGCTCATCCCGCTGTCGGTGGTCTCGGTGGGGCGGCTGGGGCAGGACCCTGTGGCACTGCATGGCAGCAGGCAGCCCAGAGCACTGCGGTGATCTGAGCTCTGGTGCCTGCGGCTGTGCTCAGTCCCTGCGGCAGCGCACAGAGACCCCTGAGAGCTGTGCCAGGCTGGGGAGGGCACCAGGCAGGGCAGCTGAGGTTACGCTCCTCCTCTCTTTACCCACCGCAGAGCCAAGCCATGCGCATTGTCCGGACTGTGGGGCAGGCGTTTGAGGTCTGCCACAAGCTGAGCCTGCAGCACACCCAGCAGAATGCAGACGGGCAGGAGGACGGAGACAGCGAGAGGAATGGGGATGACCTGGATGTCCCAGGTACTCTGTAAGGGCGGAGGCAGGGGTGGCATGGGGGTCCTGGAGCCTGACAGACACGGTCTGCAGGGTCAGTGTCTTCCCACACTGCTACTTGCTGGCTGACACCTGCGGGGAACGGATTTGCACAGCAATCTGGCCTGTGGCGCCTCGGGCTCAAGCTGGGATCTTGCCCAGCAAGGAGCCTTCGCTAGGTGTTAGCCATCATCCTCGCAGACATCCCCCTTGCTGGGAGCCCATTAGCAGCGCCCAGGACTCTGCTGGGTGCCTAAATACTCTCCGTGCTCGGCTGCACACGCCGCAAACATTTCCTTGCTGCTTTCACAGAAGAGGCCCTAAGCACAGACCTTCCCAATGCGCTCACGGGGCTGGGTCCAGCTCTCTGCCATGGACCCAGCTCATGGTCCATCACCACCTCTGCAGTTCCCTGCGTGTATGAAGCCGTGCTCGGGATCTTGCATTAAGCTTCCAGGGCTGCAGGCAGCCTGCAGACCCCCCCTCCCTTCTCAGCCCCATGGGCGGAGGGTGCAGGGGTGCTCCTGGCCGGGGGCTGCTGGTCCACGCTGTCACCCCGGGCTCTGCAGGGCCCTGGGGAGCTGCTGTGCTCCTTGGTGCCGGCAGCTGTGCTGGAGGGGAGACAGATGTTTTGCAAGAGGTTAGTCAAACACCTCCAGTGCCCGTTGGGATGCTGGCGGGTCCTGCTGCCTGTCCATGTGTGGGCTGCCTGCTCTGCAGTCCCGTGCTGGGTGCTAGTTCCCCCCCATCCCATCAGGAGCAGCCTGGGCTGTGCCGTGGTTTCCTGCCTGCCTCTGCAACCAGCGCTGTTGTGATGACCTAATCATTGGGCTGTCCTGGACCGGTCATTGTTTGTTTTTCCTCAGTGCAATGTCCCAGCCACGATATGCAGTTCCCTGGGGATTTCTGAGCATCTGGTGGTTTTTTTTTCCCCCCCATAATCTCTTGTTTACCTTTCTTTAGCTTTCTCTGTGTCTTCTGCTCTCGATAGCCCGTTTCTCCCACATCAGGGGTTTTGGCTTCTGTTCCCCAGGTTTGGTGTGCTGTGGCTGGGTGTGTTTTCAGCTGCAAGACCCATCCCGGGTGGCGGCAGAAAGTGCTCTGTACCTGCTTCCCCCCTAGAGCTGGAGGGTGGGTGGCATGGGGGCAGTGGGGACAGGTGGGCATCACTCGCCATACCGTGGATGCCTCGTAGCAAGCTCCTGCTCCAAGCGGGCTGTGCTCTGCTCTTGACGCTGCTCCCGCAGCCTGTCGCCTTGCCAGTGCGGAGAGGGGGGCTGCCTCGGCGGAGGAGACGGACATCGATGCCGTGGAGCTGCCGCTGCCCGGAGCTGACATCCTCGACTTCAGCCGTGGCGTGACCGACCTTGACGCCGTGGGCAAGGAGGCGAGCGCCTATGCTGACACCAAGGTGCGTGGGTCCCTGCCCTTCATGCTCAGGGCACAGTGTGGCCCTGGCTCCGTGGTTCTCATGTGCATCCCAGGGGCCCGGGGATCAGGAGGGATTGTGCAGCATTCCCCAGCTCCTGGATCAAAGCCATCTGCCACCACAGGGCTGCCCTTTGGCTCGGAGCCCAGGGCACTCCCGGAGAGAGCCGTGCTGAGGCTCAGCTATGTGCAGCCACACGGAAAGTGTCTGGGGCAGAGCTGATAGGGATTTTTTTCCACAAAAAAAGAAAAAAAAAAAACCTTTTTTTGATACAGTGGAAATTCCCATGGGAAGCATCAGCCTTTTTGGGAATTTTCTACAAAAATATTTGGGCTTTTGTCAAAACTGAAAAAATACTGTCTTCAAAGTTTTTCAGCACCCCCAGCAAAGCGTGCGTTTGCTTTGAATGCAGCAGCTTCTTTCCTGGGTATTTTGGGGGGCTGCTCTGTGCCACAGCCCGTGTGTGCCTGGCGGCTCTTCATGGTGAGGGGCATGAGTTCACGCTTTTAACGCCGGTGTTTTGCAGGGCTGCCTCCACCCTGAAGATATTCTGACAGCATCACCCAAGATGCTGCTGCCCTCGTCTGCCCAGCTGCCTGACCTGGGAACACCCCTCTCTGCCCACCACCAAATGCAGCTTCTCCAGCAGCTCCTGCAGCAGCAGCAGCAGCAGACGCAAGTGGCCGTGGCACAGGTTCTCCTCTCTGCTCTTTCCTGGGGGCAGTGGCAGGGCTGGGGTGAGCTACTGAGCCCCTTGGTGCCGGAGCATCCCCTGCCTGGAGAGGGGCAGACGTGGGTGGGGACCCGACCTGAGCTGGGGTGGACCCCGACACCAGGGCGTGGGAGCAGGCCGGGCAGTGTCCCCTATCTTCTGCGGCACAGCCTGCTCTGTCACACCTTCCCGGCATGGCTCGCTGTGCCCTTGCTCCCAGCGATGGCTCCGTTAAGCCCAGATGGATTAGCGTTAGGTCTACATGCCACCAGCTTTCTTGGTCCCTTGGCCCCTGTGTTATTGCAAATGCCTGGCCTCAGCGTTAGCCCCTGCCGACTCATTCTGCATGCAGGTATTTCTCATTTAAGCAGCTCTGGCCACTTTACCCAACTCATTACCTTAGCTTTAGTTGTTCCCTGACCCTTCCCAGAGCTCTCTGCAATTGCTTGACTTTCTTCCTGGCCTGAGCGATTGGCTCCAGCAGCCTTTCTGTACTTTCCCATGGCTTTCCTCTTCATGCATCAGAAAATCAGTATTGGTCCTTCTGGCTGTGCTGCTGCCCCAAGAGCCTGCATGCCTTCTGGACTCACGGGCTCGGGAAGTTGCTTTCCCCTCTAGAAGAGGGACCTGCGTCCTCAGGGGATCCTTTATGTCTGCTCAAGTATAGTGTTGCTACAGGCAAAGCTTGCCAGGCAAAGCCGGGTCCCTCTGTGGTAGGGACCGATCACCTTCAGTAGTTCCCAGTCTTTGTGTACCTGCAGAGCCTTGCAGTGGTGGTTTCTTTTTCCTCCTACTTCCAGATAAAAAAAAATCTGAAATCGTGTAACGCCATTTCTTGGCTGTCTCAGGGGATGGCAGCCAGTGGCCTCATCCCCCTCTCTCCAATGGCTGACACCCGGCCCTGGACCTCTGCCCACCCCAGGATGGTTCTTGTCCCGGGAGCTGTCACTTAGCTGCTCTGTAATCCCTTCAGCATGCGCCATGGTGATTTTGTATCATTGTACTTTATTAATGAAAAAGGTGGGCCCTATCATGTCAAATGCCTTTCAGATGACTGAATCTGAACATCAACACCTCTGTCAATGGCACTTGTTATTTTCTCTCAAAAAGTACCGAGTCTGTTTGTCTCTGAACACGTGGTGATGGGCACAGGCTTAATTCCTTACTAACAAAGCCGGGAGATCCACTGTGTTGACCAGGATCTGTGCTTGGTCTATTGCTACGGGGACCATCCTGTAATTATCTGGGCCTCTAATTACCTGGCTGAGGATGAAATGCCATTTAATTCCCTTGTTGACCAGAGACTTGCTTTTGCGAGGCATTTCCAGATACCTGTGAAAGTTCATTCTCTTGAGCTAAGTCCAGGAGTCCTTCCTGGGTGTTGTCCCCAGGGGTCTGGTGGCACAAGCCACTGCCCCTCTGCAAGACGTGACCTGTGGGCTCTGCTCGCATCTTCTCCTGGCGTCACCTGGGCCCTGCTGCAGGCGCCTGTGATGGAGACAGCTATCCAGCTGTGAGGAAGGATGACTTCCAGGCTGACGCTGCCAGCACCGAGCTTTGGCACCCGCTTAGCATTTAATTGCAATTCCACTTCTGCTAGCTAGGCTCAGGGTCTCTGCTTCACCCACCATTGTTAAGCAGAGGGCCCCGTCCCACTGTGCTGCTGTGCCCCACTGTCCCACGGCTGGCAGGAGGAGGAGGAGGTGACTCTGACTCCCTGCAGCAGTAGCAAAGCAAGTCCCAGCCCCTTGCCTGGCCTCCTGCCACCCCCTGAGCTTGCTGTGCTTCAACTCTGCCCCGCCAAGGGCACTGCCCCGCCGCCTTGCTGGCTGCAGTCAGGCAGCACAAGACAAAGCAGGCAGCACCTGCCTGCCAGCAGACCCAGCGCTGCCTCCTGGTACCCATCCAGGAGGGCAGGTGGCCCCCAGCTGTGCTGCTTTTGGGGCCCTGCAGCTGCAGCAGCAGCTCACGGGTTTGCACGCTACAGAGAGCTCCCCTTCCCTCTTCCCCAAGGTCACTTTCTAGGCCAAAGTAAAACTGCCTTTTTTTGTTGTTTTTTTGGGGTTTTTTTTGTGTGTTTGTTTTTTGTTTGGTTTTGGTGTTTTTTTTGCAGACCCAGCGCTGCCTCCTGGTACCCATCCAGGAGGGCAGGTGGCCCCCAGCTGTGCTGCTTTTGGGGCCCTGCAGCTGCAGCAGCAGCTCACGGGTTTGCACGCTACAGAGAGCTCCCCTCCCCTCTTCCCCAAGGTCACTTTCTAGGCCAAAGTAAAACTGCCTTTTTTTGTTGTTTTTTTGGGGTTTTTTTTGTGTGTTTGTTTTTTGTTTGGTTTTGGTTTGTTTTTTTTGTTTTGGGGTTGGTTTTTTTTTCCATTAAATCCATGCTTTCCTGGTTCCCCGCGACCCTGGTTGGCTCAGTCCTTGCTGGAGAGAGGAGCGCTTGTAAGAGCCATGGGTGGGTGACAGGAGGGGATGCTGAGCTGGTGTGGCTCCCAGGTGGCTCTGCACTGCTGTCCCCTTGTCCAGAGTATGCTCTTGGGGCTCTCCTTGCTCGAGCTCAGAGCAGAGAGCTGCCCCTGGGCAAGGGCTCCTGGCTGATCTCACCCAGCAGCGTCCCGCCCTCCCTGGGACATGGTGCTGGTGATATAGATGCTTGCATATGGGTAGTTATGCCAAAATCAATGGACATCTTGCCTGTGGACTCCCACTGGCTAACATCCAGGCATTGCTTCGCAGGGCCAGAATGAGCAGCCAGCTTGCGTCCCCAGAGCCACCATGTCTCAGAAGCGCTCTGCCATCTGTGTTGCTCCAGGCATGTTGTGCCTGTTGCAGCCGGAGCCGCCTGCAGCTCCAGGGCAGCTCTGATGCTCTAGTCCCTGCTAGCAACAGATGCCGCTGGCAGGACCCTGCCTTGTGCAAAACAGTGTCTCTGGGAAACCTGCCTGGAAAGACAGCTCGGCCAGGGCCAGCTCGCGGCGCATGGCTGCACCCTCGTGCACCTGCAGCACCATCCAGTCAGTAGAGTGTGTCTTCTCTTCTGCATCCATCTGGCTTCCTCCTGGTCTGCCCTTTCCTCATGCATTCGCAGCACATGTGCATGACTGACGGTTCGGTCAGCACCGCCTCCCTTTGCCTCAGGCTTTTCCATCAGAGAGACCAGGGGACCATGCGCTGGATTTGCTGAGCGTGCTGCCTGCCCCCACTCTCCTCATCATGTCTGCGGGTACCCACAGGGAATGGCTTCTTCATCAAATCATTTGGTGGGATGCTGGTGAGCCCTGGTAGAGGAGCAGGGATAGCTGAAGTCGAAGCTCTCAGCCCTTGAGCAGCACCTCCCACACGCTCACCCACTCTCTCCTGTCACACAGGTCCACCTGCTGAAGGACCAGCTGGCCGCAGAGGCGGCAGCACGGCTGGAGGCCCAGGCTCGTGTGCACCAGCTCCTGCTCCAGAACAAAGACTTGCTGCAGCACATCTCGCTCCTGGTCAAACAGGTGCAGGAGCTGGAGCTGAAGCTGGCAGGGAACACCACCAGTAAGCACTCCTGCCCCTTCCTCTCCCCTCACAGCTAGCCGGGTCTGTGGAGGACATGCGTGTGGGGGTTTCCCGTGGGATTTTTGTGCATTTCCAGTGGTTTTATGTAGGGGAGTATTAGTGCCCTTCTGGCCTGGCTTGTGTGTGTGCGGCAGGGTGCTTGCATGCAGCATGGGAGGGGGCATGGGGAGGGTTGTATGGACAGGCAGTCACGTACGTCCATCAGCTGTATGTCCGCTTTCCCCAGTGGCTGCATGGTCTAGACCAGCTCCTTGCCTGCCCAAGAGCCCCTCCTTGACCTTCCTCTCCAGCAGACGTGGCCATCAGCTCCCCAGAGGAGCTGGGGTGGGGGACAGATAACTTTTTATGCTGCAAAACTGGCACTTTGCTGGCCAGCAGCAGCTCCTAGCACCAGTGGCACCAAGTGACCCCCTCTAAACGGTGGTGATGGGGAAGTTGACATCCAAATGGCCCCGGACTGTCCTCCTCTGGCCAGTTTGCAGCCAGCCGTGGTGGCCGGGGGACGCCCAGGCAAGCCGGGGTGGCACTGTCTGCTTCTCAGCCGTGCCCTTCTCTTGCAGCAGGCTCCCAGGACAGTCTGCTGGAGATCACCTTCCGCTCCAACGTCCTCCCCGTCCTCTGCGACCCGACCACCCCGCAGCCTGAGGACACCCACCCGCCGCCACTGGGCCCCGGCTCGGGCTTCCCCAGCACCCTGGGCAGCCCCATAGGTAGGAACGACTGTCTGGTGAAGCTGGAATGCTACCGCTTTCTGCCGGACTCGGGGCCGCCCGCCCCAGAGCTGGCACTGGGCAGTCTGGAGCTCATCAAGTTCCGCGAGTCGGGCATCGCCTCTGAGTACGAGTCCAACACGGACGAGAGTGAGGAGCGTAACTCCTGGTCCCAGGAGGAACCGCCGCTCCTGCTCCATGTCCAGCCCAGGCAGGACCTGGGCGACAGCCTGGAGGATGAGATCGCGGTGTAGGGGTCGCCAGGAGGTGGTGCAGAGCAGCCGGGTCCTGCTGGAGCTGGGGCAGGCCCTGGCCATAGCCCCTGGCCCTAGCAGGGATGGGAGAGCCCAGAGAGAGAGAGGGGGTGGAGGAGGGAGCGCGAGGCTTCCAGCACACGGCTGGGAGTTGTGCGGAGGTGAGGACGGAGCCGTGCCGAGGGGGTGCGCTGGGCATGCTGTGCTCCAGCGTGCACGGGCTTGTGTGCTGAGCTGGAGCATCCCTGCTTCGCATCGGATGGCGAGCTGACAGCTGCTTGTGCTACCCCCTGGTCCCCATCCCCCTGCAAGCTGCATTCTGAGGTCAGGCAGAGGCAAGGGACTCCCTGCCAGATTAGCCACTGCTGCTGGTGCTGCTGCAGGGGGGAGCAGTAAAGCAGATGAAAGTTTTTGCTGGGGGAATGAGAAAGCAGGCACGGGGCAGTGAGCGGGGACAAGAGCGACCGAGGAGCCAGTGCAGGGCAGTGAGCAGGGACAGAGCCACTGGCAAGGAGTCTGGCTCTCTGTGTTGTGGAGAGGGTGGGAGATGAGGCCAGGGCCGTGCTAAAGAGGTGGTTAGGGTTGGTGACAGTGTACTGTCGGCATGGGTGCGTGAGTGAGAGGTGAGGCAGCGAAGGACAGGGGAACGAGCCTGGGAAGGAGCTGAAAGTGTGAGACAAGGTCATGCAGGGTGGCCGGGTACAGGCAGCTCCTGGCAGAGTGATGGTGTTTGTGGCACTTCCAGGGCATGGTTTGTCCCTGCCTGAGGCAGGTGGAGGGTGCGCAGGCACTGCCTGCTTCTCTCCCAGGCTGTGGAGTGGAGAGGAAGGCACGGCTCGGCGAGGAGCAGGGAGTTAGGGCATGCAGCACGGGGCTGTGGGGTGTCCTTCCCTTGTTGCCCGGTCCGTGGGCTCCTCGGCATGGCTGACAGGTTTCAAAGCCTTTCTGGTGCTCTCAAGTCATATTTTCAAGCACTTCCCTGCACCCACCATCACCACAAACTCCCTGCTTCGCTTTATAGACAAACCCTCCCATTTCCAAGGAGTCGCTTGCCCCTGGACCAGGGCTGGGGGATGCAGTGCTGGCATTGGGCATGTGCAGGGATGGGCATGCTTGCTGCCCCTCGATGGGGAGCGAACTGCTGGTGTCTGCAGGTGGGCTCCTTCATGTCTCTGGTTTGCACCTCCAGAAAAGTGAATCCAAGATCTCAGGATCCCCCACCAGACCCTGAGATGCCCATGGCTGAGGTATCTGTGGGAGCCTCCAAGGGATCCAGAGCTTGTCTCTTTTCTGCAAGCACATTTATCGGCTGCCTGTTGCTGCAGCCTCTAAGAGGCTACAGCTGAAGGGGTTGAGCCAGTGTCCTGATATCCCCCCTGCTCCTTGTAGAAACACTCGATGAGGTGGGGATTGGCACCATTGTCTTCCTCCCCATCCACCCTCCTATCCTGCTTCTGCTTCGCTTTGTTGCTTCCCTCTGCTCTTGCCTTCACCAGCTCTGTCTCTGCTAGATCTGCCTGTACCTAACCCCTAGCTGAGCATCTCCCAGACACAAGCTCTTGCTCTCCTCCAGGGCTTAGCCCAGCTGCTGAGGAAGGTCCATTGCTTCTTTCTGCCCTGGTCCCCTTGGGACTGAGGGCTGCTGAGGAGTGAGGTGTGGGTGAGACCCCTGGGGTCGGTACAAACTGTGCTATGCACCCTCCACCGCAGGAGGAGGCTGGATGCTGTGAGGAGCTAGAGAGTCCTAGTAGGAAGGAAGGCCATGTTTCAGTGTCCCTCGCAGTGGCCTGGTGTCCAGGGGAGCCCCTGCACCAGCCACAGAGGGGGCAGAGTGGGAGCGGGTGCTGGTTGGGACCTGGGTGCACCTGTCCTCTGGCCACCAATACTTCCATATGCCCTGTACTGCACCGCTGTGGGCACAGCTGTGTGCCAGCCCCTCTGCTGGGGACCCCGGCACTCTACCCAGAGGGGACGGCGGTGGGTGCCCCATGGGCTGAGGGGCTGCCAGAGCCGCATGGGACCCTGCCAGTGTCCTGCTGCACTGCGGGTGTACATGTGTAAATGATCCTTCTCCTAACTCAGCGCTGCCTCCAAGATGCCTCTCTAGCCTCTCACTTTTGTTATGGACCTTGACTGGGGATTTATAGCTATATTTTTTGTCCTTTCTTTTCCTACAACTGTTGTGTTACTAACTGTTGACTCAATCTATCTGGGAAACGAATCTGTCAATGTAAGTGCACTTAACCCTTGGGTGTTGTCATTAGTCAACTGGCTTTTGCTAAATAAATCTTTCTATTTCTCAAGGCTTTCTGTTGTCTCTTCCTTCTTGCTGACTTTCTCTCTTTCTGTACTTCTCTCCCCCTCCACGCTGGGAGCCAGCACCAATGGTGGCATCCCTTCGCCTTGCACAGACCCCCTCCAACCTAAACATCCTCCTCTGCAGGACCCTTGCTTGCGGTGCCAGACGCGGGCTGCCCATGAGAGCGAGGTGCCCTGTATGTTGCTGGGGCTAGAGGGGTTTCAGCCTTCCCATTCAGCCACTGCACAATGCAGGCTTGTCTGAGGGCTGACCTGACAGCTCAAGGGTGCTGGGGGGGTTCCCGGCATCTGCAGAGTGCTCCACACTGCAGAGATGCTAAGCAGTGCTTTCAGGGGCTCAGGAGATTTTTGGCTGCTGGGGAAAGAAAAGTCAGGAAGAGCCTCTCTTAAAGGATGGCGGAAGTGTTGTGTAGGCAAGAGCAGCAAGCATACAGGGCCGGCTGCTCCTAAAACAATTTATTCTGCCGCTGGCAGGAGTGATGGAGCAGTGCCCTCCCGTGGTGGCCGCCTGGCTGGCGGGGCTACATGGGCACCCTGGGGGCTGCAGCCTCTTGCTCATTGTGCTCCTTCTCCCACAGGGCCTTGAGCCTGCGGTAGTACACCTTGCAGCTGTAGCCCTCCTGGGAGCTGTGCTGGATGTGGGTCTTGACCGACCACAGCGTGGGGAAGACGCGGCAGCATGACACGCACTGGTAGCCGCGCTGGGGTACTGGCTGCCGCCGGGAAGCGGCAAGGATGTCCCGGACTGTGATGCTGGCTCTGCCGCTGGCCAGCCTGTCCCTCTTGGGGGGCTGGGGCTTGTCTGAGGAGCTAGAGGAGGAGCAGACGGTATCCGAGAGGTCATCGGGCTCCTCGGGCTCCTGGGTGCTGGCGGCCAGGCTGGAGGAGAGGCTGCCCAGGTGCTGCTGGGCAGCTCCTTTGGTGCACATGAAGTAGCTGTAGGGTGAGAACCAGGGCCGGTAGATGGTGCAGGTGCGGGCGGGGAGCTCGCTGCCTGATGGGACTGCAGGGCTGCAGGCTGCGGAGGAAAGAGTCTGCAGTGAGTCAGGGTCCCTGCAAGAGCCTGTCCCCCCATGGTGTTGGGAGCAGTGCTGGGGACCCTTCCTCTCTGTCTCCATGGAATGCAGAGATGACTGGCTCTGTCCCAGTACGTCACCCCGGCATGGAGGGTATCATCCCTCCCCCCACGGGATGCAGGGGTAGAGATGGGTGTGGGATGCTGGTGGGCACCGAGGCACCGGCACAGCACAGGGCTCACCCAGCAGCCCACTGGAGCCGTCCCATGGAGAGCTGCACTGGCACGGCAGCAGCAATGGGGGGGCTGAGCTGGCGCTCCCAGGGGCAGCACCCACAGTTTTGAGGATTCCTGCTGGGAAGACATGGGGGAGAAACCGATGTAGCTCAGAGATGGGGTGTGACTGCAGGACCCCCCCAGGTCCCCAGAAAGCACCCACTGCCATGGGAGTTCCCAGTCCCTTTTCCCCACCCGTGCAGGAGGATATGCCCAGCTAAACCCCTCCGCAGCCTGTCTGCCAGCAGGCCCTCGCTGTGCCATAGGAGGCTGAGCGGTGCCGTGGCCATGCCCAGGGGATGCAAGGGGGAGCCCTCCCCACAGGCAGTGCCGGCTGCCTGCACCCCCCACCTGGCCACAGCTGGTGAGCGCCAGGCTCACCAAACAGGCTGGCAGGGCCCCAGGGGCATGGGGCCTCCGGGCTTCTTGTCCTGGTGCCATGGGGCATGGCCCCGATGGAAATGGTGGGCAGGACAAAGCTCTCCATCACCCTCGTGTAGCCGGTGTATGGCTCCTGTGCCATGGTACCCATGCCGTCATCAGCTGACGTCACAAAGGGCTGATGTCACACGTGTGTATGGTGCACAGCAGGATGCTCCTGAGCAGTGGGCTCAGCCCCCAGGGTCTCTGGGGAGCTTGGCCAGTGTAAGGGAACAGCCAGCCTGGGCTGGAGAGGGAGTCTTGGTGGGGTGGGCAGTGTAGAGCCCAGGCTGTGGGTGCCCCCAGAGAACCCCCGCTGCTTCGTGGGTGCCTGGCTGATAAGGCCCCACATGAGTCCCACCTCCGCGGGCAGTGTGGCAGGTCTGGGCAGGGGGTAGGCAGTGCACCTCGCCCAGCAGTGTGGAAGGGACAGGCTCACTGTCCCCTTGCCATTCCCTTGGTAAATCCTCTCTCTCTCTCTTTCCACAACCTGCTTCCCAAGTCACTCCGTGTCAGGTAAGAGACGCTCTCGGTGTGTTGGTAGTGCCAGCATGGAGCCCTGGGCTCGCTGCTCCCCCGTCTCGCCCCCCCACGCTGTCCCCATTGCATGCACTGCCCTGTGCAGCCCTGGCATGGCCCAGCTGCCCACAGCCTCTGTGGGGCTGCAGGAGCAGCCTCCCTGTCCCCCAGATTGTGTCCCCTATGCTGCTGGGTTGGCAGCTGGTGGGCAACTCTGGGACATGCCGTCCCTGCCGGGGTCCCTCCTCCAGCCCAGCTCACACCCCCTTCTCTCTTCTCTTTCCCCCACCAGTGGACCAGAGCATGTTTGAGAATGCCAGCGCCAGCACAGCACCCACCCCGCGGCCACAGCACATCCCCGCTGCAGCAGGCGCCCCGCTGCAGCCCTCCCGCCCTGCCAGCAGCCAGCACCTCCGCAACCTGGGCAAGGCCGTGGGGGCCAAGGTGAATGACCTCCTGCGCCGCAAGGAGCCAGCTGGCCTCCCTAGCGTGGGAGTGATGGAGGTGAATGCCAGCGCTGGGGCCATGCTGGGCACAGGACAGACAGCCAGCGAGGACAGGTGAGTGTCCCTGTGGCATGCATACTGCAGCAGGGCCGTTGGGACAGGCTGGAGGGGCCGCAGCGTGGGGCTGCATGTCACTGCTCCTCT